GCCATGTGATTGGCTGCTTAGAAATTAAGTGTTACCGAGCAGTTGGACAGGTGTACCTAATAAAGTGGCCGGTGAGTGTATACATCATATCATAAGATTTTTTTAGAGTTTTATATTTGCCAAACCCTTGCTAGTTGGAGCTGTTACCCATCCAACATTTTTTTTCTGGGCTGAACTGTCAAAGGTGCAATTTTTTCTTGGTGAACGGTGCATAAAACCAGGCTGCATGCACACTGCATGGAGGGGCCTGTACCACGTAACTTCAGGCATAAATTCGGCTAAAGAAGTATATTTCTCTCTTTCCCTCTTTGTAGATTGCTTCACATTTCCATGGAGCAGTATTTTCAACCAAAAGTGACATAAAAGACTGTTCAGGTGTCTGCAGGAGTAAAATCTTTGGGGACTTGCATACATCTGCAGAGAAATAATCAAAACTAGATGGCCAAGAGTAACTTTAAACTCATCCAATAAGTGTTATAATTTACAAAGCCCATTCATAAAGTTTCAACTTTATAATGAAATTTTTCACATAGTTTTGGGGTAGTAAAAAAATACAGCTATGGTGCCAGTGTTCTGTCAGATCAGCATACGCTGTCAGACCAGCATACCCATAGTCAAAACCCATTTATCCCTTTAGTTTTGTACAAAAGATACACTTGAAACTTCCTTAACGGGCGTGCATCCCTTAAGTCATGTACAAAAAAACCCAAACAATTTAATTACTTACTTTTTGGTGGTTTTCGAAGCGTATGACGATCTGACCGCAAGTTATTTTTTGTACAGTATATGACTAAGGTAAATGCTGATCTGACAGAATAACGGGAGATCTCATTTAAACGGGTTATACATTGTGAAAGCTAAAGTTTAACAATAAAAGGAAACATCTTAATTCCTGAAATACCATCCTAAAGACTCAAATACTTAAAAGCATAGTATTGCTTAGTATCCTTTCTAAAATTATGCCACTGGGACGGAATGTTTGTATAAACAGATTGACAACATTTCGAAAAAGATAATATCCTGTCATCGGGTTTTGGTCAGGATGGTCAATCTTCGCTTTCTGCAGTGCAAGGGAAACTTACAGGAAAGTAAACCTGGGTGTGCTGACTGAAATACTTCAACTACCCATTTTAAAAGATTTTAATGCTAGATAGAATTGGGGCTTGAACTAAAACCTGAAACAGGTGATGAAATAAAGGGATAAATCAGGACTGTGGTTTAAGGTCGAAATTTTAATACATTAATTTTTTTTTTAATAATTTTTGCTGCTTCTTTCATCTCAAAAAGCTGCACATATTTACCCCCCCTGTTTATGTTTCAGACAGCGGTGATCAGCTACGACTATCTGACGGCCTTCAAACATGTGGACTACGGTACAGAGGAGTACTGGGCCCTCAAGTCCAAGGTCAGTTCTTATGGAGATCATCTTTGCTCTGCATTGTTTTAAAGACAGCTTCAGTTTAATCTGACAGCTGTCAGGTGTATATATAAGTGATTAATGCACTTTGCTTATCAGTTTTTGTTGTTGATGGGGTCACTGTCACAGAAGGAAGTGTCTCATTCATCAGGAGCAGATTAAATTCAGGAATTTAGATGTGTTCCAGGATCCAGATTACCAGAGGGAGATGGTTGGTTTTTAGCATTGTAAAAATACTTGCCTTTAATTAAAAACAGATCACAATTAAAATGCTGGCTGTTGTCATCAGATCAACATTGTCAATGACCTGCTGCCATAAAAATGGAACTAAAGCTTTTTTGATTAGGTATTCCAGAGGGACTTTAAATTGAATCATAATACTTTGTTTTTTTCTCTCATAAAAGCCAAAAACATTATTCTAAAGAGCTTTTTGTGCCTTACGTTGGTGTGGAATGCTTAAGATCGTTTCTCCTACTTATTTTACTGTCAAACTGCTCAATAACTCAAAAAGGAATAAATGCACACATGTGTGCCCTCTACTGTTTAGGACTCATCTGTGATTGGTGCGTTCTTTGTATGATGTCATGCGCCAGATTGCGACATGTACCGTGATAACTTAGCAGTAATGTCTGATTTTAGGAAGGATAATATGCTTTACCCTCTATTTTGCTGATGTTTTGACAGGTTGACAGGTTCTTTTCTGGGCATGCAAAGAACTGACACTTTACATTTCAATGATAAAGATTTATGATTTCTTAAACACTAATATAAGAACCTGGTCAGAAGTAACACTTTTTTTTTCTTTTAGAAACCTTTCAGTTCTTCTGACAAATCTTCTGACATTATGGCAGCACAATGTACAGTAAGGTTAATGCGTTGTGGTAGTTTGCATAGAATGGTTTACAACTAAATATTTGCTGTTTATTTTCCTTAAAATGTCGGAGTTAACGCTCTGAATGCCAAAGAGATATCAATTCAATTTCAATTTTCAATTCGGTTTTTTATATAGCGCCAATTCACACGTCATCTCAAGGAACTTTACAGTTCAACCAGATCATCCAGTCAAATTAATTCAAAGTTTTCTATCTAAGCAAAACCAGTTGATTGCATCAACTTATTGACTCAAAGGCAATCCCCCACAGTAAGCATGCTTGTAGCGGCAGTGGAGAGGAAAAACTCCCTTTTAGCAGGAAGAAACCTCCAGCAGAACCAGGCTCAGTGTGAGCGGCCATCTGCTGAGGCCGACTGGGGTTCAAGGAGACAGAAGCAGAGATACAGAAAGCAGCTGTAAAAGGCGGCCCCGTCCACGAAACACACAGCCAGGCAGACGAGCTCCGAGCCAGCTCCCATGTCAGAGGATGAAGAGAGCACATCCAGCCAGTCACGGTCAGAGAAACAGGACCACACTGGAAAACAGGCCGATCTCAAGCATATATAAACAATGGTGTTGATGGAAGCAGCACAGCTGATATTTCTCTCCAGGATGGTATCACAGCCAAACAGGAACAAACTAGGCAAAGCTACAATGAGAAGAAGCAGAGAGAACATAACATTAGAGACTGAACTAACAGATTCTGCAGAGTGGAAGAATAGAGATGGAATGAAGCAGAATGATGAAATGGGGGTCCCTATGTCCTCCAGAAGTCTAAGCCTATAGCAGCTTAACTATAGAGATAGCTCAGGGTAACCTGAGCCACTCTAACTATAAGCTTTATCAAAAAGGAAAGTTTTAAGCCTCACTACAACATATCCAGCTGTAGGAGTGAAGAAAATTGCACACATCAATTAGATTGTTGTTTCCAATATGCCAAAGGTAACAGAAGCAGCTGGATGAATCCTGATTACTAACAAGGATTAGGACAAATATTTATTTGTGTCATACTGGTATACTCCTTGTCATAAATATTAATGTTATTACCACTTTTTTTTTCTCTAATATGATGATTGATTTTACATTTTATGGAATAGTTTAGAAAATGGCTGGGCGATATGACCTTAAAATCGTATTATGTTTTGTGATACACTGTTGTGATAAAGATACATTTAGTGATTAAAAACACTCTTCATTAATTATTTTAAGTAGTTCTTAGGCAACTGTGTAGCCATCACTGCAATCCCCAGCAATTATTGTACAACAATCACAAATTCTACTCTTCAAAAAACATTACAACTTCAGTCTTTTTTAGGACTCCAGTTTGATAAAGAAGTGTGATGTATTGACAAAGATCCTATAGTAACCATAACTAATCATATTCTTTATATTTGCTAATGCTAAAATGGAAATAAAAGCAAAAAATATGGGAAAAAAATTCACCCATTTTGTTATATATATATTTTTTTTATTTTTATTTTTATTTTTTTTATGGGTTGTTCCAATTCCAATACCAGTATCAGAAATGTATCAGATACAAAAATAGGAATTATAATAGGAATCTATTTACTGCTTAGGCTCCATTAATTCTGACATAGTTCTTTGCAATTACCTTCCACTGCACTTTAATTTAGATAGCTTCTGGCAAAACTCTATTTATTCATTTTATAGTAAAACCCATCTGTATATTATGCTATTGTACATAACTGTAAAAACCTTTTTTTAATAGTAATATCCATCTGTATATTATATTCGGTACATATCCAGTTGTAAATTTACTTCATAACACTAGTGATCTATATATTATATTTATTATTTATAATAGTATTCATCTCTACACTCATTCAGTAGAAATACCCACGTCCTGTATTTATGGAACCATTTTTTATCCTGCACTTGCTGCTATCGCACTTCTGGTTAGACCTAAACTGCATTTTGTTGCCTTGTTCCTGTACATGTGTAATGACAATAAAGTTGACTCTAATCTAATCTAAAAATTAATTCTGGCATAGTTCTTTGCCAATCTTAAAACAATTGTGGTGTGCTGCCACCTGCTGTTTTAGAGATGAAGAGCTGATCACCTGAAATCTGTCAGAGAAAGCTTTATACTGTTCTATTTAGAAAATAAGTGCCTTACTGTAAATTTACTGTATTCATTCATGTTTCTATTCAAGGGCTGAACCTCAGCAGGCCTTACCAGAATGATTAACATATCATAGTTGTGGCTTATATATATATGCATTTCTTATATCCTAAATCATATTTGTTTTGAGCTGTTTAAAACAGGTGTATCTACAAAATACCTTCCCGTCAGTAGGGGTTACTTATGTAGAGAAGGTTTGAACCTAAAAACTACCGTAAGAAGAAAAAAGGAAAATTAATAGTCCTACTGACATGAATAGGTCCTGCTTCAATGCACTTAAGGCAGGGGCTGAAATCGAACATTGAATCTTAGAATTTTTATTTATATATATATATATATATTTTTTTTTTTTTTAACAAAGCAAAGAATATTTTTTTGTATCAAAATTATTCAAAACAAAAAGTTCCTAATTTAATATTTCCATTAAATGAATGCATTTTGATTGTCCAACAGTTTAATGTTTGTGGACGGAACATCATGAACAGAGGCCTCTGAAGTGTTTCTGGTGTGGTTTTTATTTTTTACTTTGCTTGCATTGGCTTTGTTTGCTTTGATGGAAGGGGAAAAATAATTGTTTTCACATATTAAAACTCAAATTGTGATTTGTACTGTCAGTTCATCAGGATTATGATCCTACTTTTAAAAAAATCAGTTATTCGCATTCAAGTAAGTGATGCTGGAAATGCCAATTTAATCTCCCTCAAACAGGCCAGGCTTTCCCTCTGGCATCCGTAGTGGATGACAGTCAACTTAATTATTCTTTTGGGTATTTTATCAAAACTGCAAATACCAAAATATGAAATTGGATATATTTTTACATGCAGGATTTAACAACACAGACTTAGCAAGGAAACCAAACGCTCTTGACACTCAAAACAAATTTGAGGTGAATGCACCATTCCACAGTTCCTGTACTGTATGACACAACTTGGCTTGTCACCTTGGAGACACGGGTAATGTTTACATGCACACAATCTGTATCAAACTGAAATGTTTCAGACAAAAAAAACACAAAAAGACCCAAAACTTTAATATAAAAACAAATCATCTGAATAAAATGCTTAGTCAGACTAAAATTGCCATACCATCTAACCACTCAAAGTGAGACTTTGTCACATTTCGCTCAGTTCGCACTAAATGAAAAATTTGATCCTTGCAAACATTTGCATGAATGAATCAGCATAAACCACCAAACTCAGTCAGATTACAATCTTATCCTGGTCCCGCTGAATCCAATCAGAATATTCCGACTGACATGTTTACATTAAACATTTTAAGTCCTGTTTTTGATTAATTAATTTAATATAAACATAGCTACTGATTTATTGATTGCTACTCAGGATCAAGCTCAAATCTGCTTGCATAAAATGACAGAACATAATATAGCATTCTTTATATAATAGAGGGGCAATGTGACAGTTTGCGTGGGCTTTTACTCTTGTGCTTCAGTTGTGCAGGTCAGCCCAGGTCATTAAAGTGAGCTTTGTGGTAAAAAGGTCAGAAACAACCTGCTCCTAGTCTTGGAGCTCTGCTGCTGTTGGTGTAGTTGCAGGAACTTTGCAGTGAACCTTGAAGAACATGGTTCGGCATGGCTGGCTACGTGGATGGGACTCAAACACTCAGACAAGTGCTCCTGCCCCCTCGGGCGGCGCCAGTTAAGCATGGCTGCACAGGCTGATTAGAATTAATGCATGTTGCTGATTTATTCCAGAGAGGAGACTCAGCTCCTAATTATCCTCAAGTCAAAGAGGTGAGGCTTCAGAGCTGCAGTTCATTCTTTACTTTTTGTGTTGCAGACTGGAAAAGGACCGCAGGTAGAAATAATAGGTCAATGTCTTTTTAAAGTCGGCTTTAATAAGAAAAAAGAAAACAAGTTTGTCTCATTCTTGAGGATGAGAAACTTTAGATTGGCTTATTCATTTACAATGAATATCCCCAGTGGAGGAGCTTAAGTATCTTTGGTTTTGTTTACGA